TATCTATTTTTTAAGTTGATGCTTTTTCTCTTGAACTATGTAAAAAATATTTAAAACTTCTCTGCAGGAAAGCATAGCTAAATGATTTTTCTTTTTTTTTTTTTCAGAAAACTGAAAAAAAAGCAAGCAAAAAGTGCTTTCAGGGTTTTTTTTTTTTTAAATGAATTGGATTTTGATATCTTTTTTTTTCATGGAAAATACCTCCTGACTTGAGAATTTATATAATAGTCACAAAATACTTTTATGTACAATTGGTTATAGGGGACATCTTTATTGCTTCACAGTTTACACAGAGCAATCCTGAATAGCCTGCTGTTTGTACAAAACCTGTGTTTGCAATTTTTACTAAACCTCACAGTTAAAGAATAGTAGGAAAATAAAAGATGATTTTGGTTCAGAAACTCTACAGCTCTTGTAGTTTAAAATCACAAACTGTTTGAAATTTAGAGTATTACAATAGATTGTAAAGGATGGATCTATTGTCTTCATCCTTTACCTTCAGTCGATGGTGACATATCTCACAGGTGGTGCTGTGCAACATGGATGGGTGTTTCTCTGGAAGCACCAGGGTTTAGGGGAAATGGTGACTGCTTGGAATCATGGGGTGTATTTTGCCTGTGTCTGCAGAGCCATCATTTCTCTGCTGTGCTTGCCAACAGGGTGTGTGTTCTTGTGGAGTGATGTGTAATCCTCTCCACCAGAACATGGAAGCATGACTTCAAGAAGTTTTTAGCCTTTAGAAAAGAGAAGTGTGTTGCCTTTCTAAAGTTAAATGGTTGCACGTGGGAGAAAAATGTTTGCTTCAAAGTCTAAAGCTGAAATGGGGAATAAAGTGTAACTGGGGAGAAGTTAAGATGATGATGACCTGTTCTCTTTCCTCTTGCAGCTGGAAAGGTTGAGAATGAGCACATTGATTTAAAAGCAGTTTGTGGGTATTGCTTGTTGCTTTTTAGTTTATTTATTTGAATGTTAAATACTGATGGAGAGTATTGCATGAGCACATGGGTGAGGGAAGCATTTCTATTAAAGCTCTTCAGTGTTATAATCCTAATTTCTGCTTCAGTGGGACTGACTGGGAACTATAGTGAGGATGAAGCTTAGTCCTAAAGGACATAAATTCTTTTTCATATATAGGATCTTAATTAAGATTCACTAAATGAATCTTAAGGTCAGGGGATGTCTTTTGTGTCTCATCAGCTCCTAGCATGTGGGTGGCCTGTTCCCTGTGTGAACGCTTAGGTTTAGTTTAATAAAATAGATAATAATAATAAGCTCATATGCCCTCTTGTAATGCTGAAGCACAGTTGTGAAGATATCTCTGTGTGTGTGCTTGTGTCATACACTCTTGGAATATGGATGGTCTTGGGAATGTTAAAAGAGGAGGGAGAGCTCAGTCCATGCCATCATCTCCTGTTGACTTCTCTGAGATGAAATGCTGGGAGCTCCCCACCTAGTATCAAAAAATCTTAGCCATTGTCTTAAGAACTGGAGAATAGCAAAAAGGGCATTCCAAGAAGATATTGTTCACGGATCCCTGGTGGAAGAGTGTGCAGAGCTCCTTAAAAGTAGAGCTGGAAGCAGCTTGACAAAACAATAATTCAGCTATAAAGTGAGGGTCTCAGTTTCAGCTGAATGTTGCTGAATTCTTCCTGTTTCTCTGAGTCCAAAGTCAAGTCTGCAAGGAGCACATTAATATCCTATCCAGATTCATTCAGAATCAGATGCAGAGCTCAACACAGCAAGACCATTTTGGGAGTTCTGAAGACTCCCTGCATCACACATACAACGAGCCTAGTCTTGCTGTCCTAGTGATACAGATTCATTCTGCATGTCATGATGCATACAACTAGATCAGATAGGCTTAGTGTCAGATCTATTGTGCATTCCCTTCCTGCCATCTTTCAAAGCAGAGGTATTGTTGTTACAGTATAAACTTGCTTGAACTTCTCTGCAAATTCCCAAGCATCTCACAGACGTAAATTATTCTGATATTGCCAAATCCGTTTCTTGTGAATGTCAGAGTCATGCTGAGTTTGACATTTTGTTAGGAAATCTGAGGTTTTTACTTGGCAGTGTAGTATAAAGGTATAGTTCTTGCCCAACAACAGCGTTTGTGAATGCATTGACAGGTTTTCATTCTGGTTTTTTCCATGCATTCATCCTGCTTTCGGAAAAGATGCAGTTTATTGGAAATTGTTAAACATTTGAAACAGTGTTGCAAGTTTCTGCATGTAACTTAATAATTACTATGTCTTATGGACAAACAAAATTTTCCATACCCATCATAATTCATGCTACTTGTCCCTTAGAGAGCTCTGGAATTATCAGAGAAAATGGAAAGAGAAGGAGAAGAAGAAGGAAATACTGAATATAGGCACACAAGAATCTGATATTAAACCTCTAAGTTCAGCCCTGCCATGGTACAACAGAATCCTGTAAAAATGTGGGCAAGTGCCAGGGTACCACTTGTCTAAAGCTTGTGATGTATTTCCATCCTGGCCCTTCCCAGGCTTCATGGCACTGTGCATGTTTCCTTTAAAGATCCTCCCATGTAGCCAGTCAGTGTTCTATAGCCCTTAGAAATTTGTGGTCTGGAGCCTGTAATCTAGAGCAAGGCTTTCTGAATCCTGGGGAGTTTCACACTTGATGCTCTGGCCTTGTGCAGACAGCCCTCTCTGGAAGCAAAGCAGGCATGTGTGCTAGCAATGGCTAGGGACAGTTGTGCAGCACTGCAGAGCAAACTCATTGTGGTGGCTGATGCTTTTCTTCTTTGTTGCTCACATATGGACACAGAGGTACAAGTACTGTATGCCTGTCCTCAATTTAATATTTGCTTTATTAAACATATTACTGAAAGCAAACAGGCAATACAGAAATAACTGGAAGTATTCAGAAGCTGTGGAGACAGTATAAAGGAGAAATTAAATGAGGGTGAACTTTGAAACAAGTAAATATTACATATTGATAGGTTTCAATTGAAGCACACACAGTATAAAAGGAGAAGCTTTAGGAAGTGATGGTGTTAAAATATTTACTTGCACATGGTTAGATACCAGACCTGGTTTTGCAAAATCTTGTAATGATCAAAAGAGTTGGTGCAGGTTTGAATCCTGAGCTACATATATATATATATTTAAATATATACATATATATATATATATACACACACACACATATATATATTTAAACCGAACAGGTTTTTCATCAGGAAGCAGTAATCTGTTGAAGAAGTGACATTTTGATAGCAATGTGGTCGATGAGCAAGAACTCCTTTTGGAAAAGATTCCATATATCTAAGGTTATTGCCTGATGGTTGTGACATAGTACTGTGCTATGAAAAATTACAGTTAAGGTCCTTGGTCTGGCTTCCTCTTGCAATTCATGCTCCTTAAGTGAATACTTAAGCAAATAAGGAGATGCTGGACCTGATTCATACTTTGTAAATTATTTACTGGAAGTAGAAGTCAGAGCTGGGTCTTCTTCACTCCAGGTGAATTGTCTAACCGTGTGACTGTAGGCAGCACCTTTGCCTCTTTGTGTGTTAATGAAGACGTGAACAACACCTATAAAAGAAACAGGGAGATCTCTGTGTCCATGCTATCCTGGGAAATCACATGAAAGACATAAAATTGGGAGATAGGGGATGACAGCTAAGGCCTTCAGTGTAGGTCCTCTAATTACTTGCTCTCCTTTGCCATGAGGAATATCATCTGAAGGGTTTATTCTTAGTTTGGTTCAGAATACAATCTTTCTTTTAGGTCTGGGATTCAACATATTTTTTGTCTTCCGTCTTTCGCATTTGATTAGAGCTCTGAGTTTCCTTTCTCACCAGCTTTATCTATCAATATTTTGTGGGGGTTTTGTGTGTTTCCTAGACAAATTAGCTCATAGATTGGAATTCTGAATGAAATCTAAATTTGTTATTCTTTTTTTTAAATCCTGAGTATCATAGTGGTCAGGAAGAACCTTTGTGTGAATCTTGGTGGCAGTGTGCATATAAAGGTTTTTTTTTTTCCCCCTTTTCCTCGTCGTAGCATGAAGAGACAATGCAAAGTTTCTTTTCCTCTTGCTGCTAACAATCCACACGTTGATGCCTGATAGGAAAAATCAAGGTTACCATATTTTCCATATGTATACACTGTGGGTTATCTCTGGCTTGAGAGTTTTGTTTGTTTTTAAACGTGGGCCAAGTCAAACCCTGCGGTTTAGCAGCAGTGTGCATTGTGTGTACAGGCATAACAGGAGAGAAGTCTTATTCCATGGTTCCTTCCTTAGTAGTATCCTGGTCTCTTGTGGCTTGTTTGCTCAGTGGATATGAGTTATCTGTGAACTTTGTTTTAAGAACATCTTAAGAGCTCCAAGTTACCTGAAGCAAAGGTTATGTATGTGCAAATACAGTGCTATTATGCTAAGCCTCTGGGATATTATTGCTTTACAAAATATATGGAGGCTAATAGAAATGGCTGTTGCATGATGTACCCTGTACTGCTTGTTACTTTGGGACTGTAAAACTTGATTTGCTTGTCAGTCTAAGGAGACCTAGTACACAGCAAACAACCCATGCAGTGAATCAAGGTGTCCTGCTCTCACCACAGAAGTAATTTTCAAACAAAATATACATGTGTTTAGTTAGGAGAATATGTGCTAAATATCCCCATTATAAATCACAAGACAGAATTACAGAAGAGTGATTAGTCAACTTGTGGGTATTTTTCCATTTATATTGCCCTGTGAAAGTAAATAGTTATTTTTCATTTCTTTGTCATTTTTGGTTATAACAAGATTCATTGACTTGGCATTTACAAGGAAGCAGCTATTTTTCATTTCTTTGTCATTGTTGGTTATAACAAGATCCATTGACTTGGCATTTACAAGGAAGCAGCAGCTTTCACGTTGTTTATACTTTAAGATTTCTAATTGCATTCCTATAGAACAGAAAACCAAGATAAGACATTTATTTCATTTTCTTCCACCAGCTCTCATTTCCCTTCTTTTCACAGAATATCTCCATGCATAACACAGTTGGAGGAGCAATGGCAGGACCTGGATCTCACCAGCTGGCAAACACAAGGATGCCAAACCACGACACCAGCGTTGTGATTCAACAAGCCATGCCATCTCCACAGTCCAGTTCTGTCATTACACAAGCACCTTCCACAAATAGACAGATTGGGTGAGTCCATTTCCATGTTCTCATTTCTCCAGTTCTCTGGCTCCAGCAGCTGCATGTAGGACCAGATGTCTTCATGGTTCTTAAAGTTCAGCTGCATGCAGTACCAGATGTTGTTCTTGTGGTTTTTGAGGTTGCAGAGTCTGCTCTTGACCCTGCCAGCATGCAGCAAGGACCTCTGCAACATGTGTTGCAGACTATGGGGGAATGCCCAGGTTACTACATCTACTCCAGACCTGGCACTCTGGCTCAAAAAGGGTACTTGTCTGGAAGTCCTGCTTTCTCCATCCAGTTTTTTTGTTTTCATCTTCTTACATTCAGAATTCATGCTGGTTGTATAACTGCTGTGGGAAACAGGAATTCTGTGTGTTCTGTGGGATTGGGCTGTTTCCTACAAATTCTGTTAAATTGAAGAATGCTAGAAGATAAAAAGACCAGCAAGATAAATGGAGGTTGGCACAGTGATCTCTGTGAACAGTTGCTTAATCTGTGATGATGGATCCATATTTATTACCATAAATTGACAGTATGGATACTTATTGTATTGGCTTGAATGCCAATTGTGTGCTTATGTTTGGAGATCTGTGTGAACAAAAACATGTGTGTTTTGTACACTTGGTTACTTCCAGCACGTATGAGGTCCTTCTAAGTCACAATAACTTTATTTTAATTACACAGAAACTGCCCAGATGATTTGAGGGTACAGTTTTTCATCACACAACTCTGAGAATTTGGGGGGCTTTATGCATGAAAACATATGGATAAAAAGATACATGAGTGCACTAAGAAAGAAGCAGAAGTCTGGATTCATTATCTGTCATTTGTAATTTGGACACATCCATTATACGATAAGTGCAGAAGCAGTCTCTGTCCCCAGTCATTGTCTAAATAATTGATGAACAACTTGCAGTCTCTCCAGAGTACAACTGAAAAATGAAATCCTGGGATTGAAAACTCAAAATCCAGTTATTCTTGAGTTTTCTTTCAAGATTCCTGGTGGCCAGGGGAAGATATAGGCCACGGGATCAATATTTCCCAGTGCCATGGTAGCAGGGATGCCCCTTGGCACTGACCTCTACGGAGGGGTTACCCAGCCATGCACAGAGCACAGATTCCATCTGCTGCCCCAGTTTTGTGCTCCTGTCCAAGCTCCTCTATTTTCCTTTTTACTACCATTTCAGGAATTGTTTCTTAACATGTAAATCTGATAGGATGGGTCAGGTAAACATGTATGATAGAAGCACCTTTGTATATGTTACATATTGACAAAACACAGTGTTCACTGAGATTTCATGTGCAATACTGTTTGTCTACGAATCCACAGAAGTTGTCTTATATATGTCCCACTCTGTTCAAAGACAGGGGGCTGGGAGTGAGTGAGGGAGGAAGAAACGGTTTCTTTTTCAGTTTTAGAAGAAAAACAACTAATGCTATTATTTGCATTAAGGATGATTAAGCTCTTGTTCAAATGTGGCTTAATAGGTCTAGTGGTAATTATGATCCTAATTAAAACAAAAAAAAAACCCCAAGCAACTTTTAGTACTCAGTGGTGAGATGTCTTACATGGGACTGTACTTGGCTTCCAAACAATTGTTTCTATATAATGAGAAAAAAACTGCATGTGGTTTTGCAAGACCCTGTCAGTCAGGTTTTAGGTTTGTGTTGGTTCTGGGCCATGGTGATTAGAATCTCCAAAGTTGGAGGAGTTGAGGATAAAAAGGCCTTTTCCTAGTCAGTGGTGTGTCTCATTTGGGAAACTTTGTCATGACATATCTTAATTCTTCCCTGTGACTGAATCACACAAATGTTTCCTAAGTCTGAGTCTAAAGCTGTTTTATTGGGAGGCAATTGTCAGCATTTTAGTCTCTGTGTGAGTTGGTGTGTGAATGAGACTTATGGTGTGACCTCCAGCATACCCTGTTCCTCATTCTTCCCTTTTCCTAGGAGGTTTTGTTCTTTGTTCATGGTGTGTCCTAGGAGATAACTGCTGCATTTTCAACTTCATCTACTTGCCAAAGTGTTGAGCATCCTTGTTTGTCTTCTTTTCCTTCAGTCTTTCCCCTGTGGTGTCTGTTTTATTTATTCAAAGAATGTATCTTGTCATTTCCATTTATCTTCATCTTATCCTTCTAAATGTGCTAAGAATTATATCCTAGACTCATTCGTGAGGAATACAAACTGGACAATGGTTTTAGTATTAGACAACTGAAGAAAAATCTGGATGGATTCAGAAAATACTTGAGTTCTTCAAAGTTTGGTGGTTTTGATTTGGCCTTACAAAGCTGAGATGGTTCAGCTGTTTAACAAGTCAAAATTCTGAGGTGCTCAAATCAGTGGTTTTTAATTGTGTTCCCCTTTTTTAGAATCATCTGAAACTGCCCTGAAGGATAGTTGAGTCCTTACCATGAAGAATTGTGCCAGGGAATATGCCTTTTAATGAGCAATAAAACCAGCAGAGAGCAACTGGGTAAAACTCTCATTGAGTCCTGTAAGAGCAGGATCAAGCCCTAAAGGTTATATAGAACCATCTTGTAGCAATATTCTGATTTTTATCGCAACCACAAATATTTTAGTGTCAGACTATGGCCAAGCCACCTGCAAATGTTTATGATGGCCTTACTCCAATGAAAACAGGGAACAGCAATGAAAGTCTTCATTTAGCCCCTGTTTGTAGGTTGTGCTCTAGTAACAGGGAATGGGACCCACCTGTGCCCGCACACAGCTCATTTCATGGTGAGGAGTGGGTGAGTTCACAGCAGCTGACATTCCCCAGGGATGTAATTTTCCCCTACTTTCTCCTCTCCCTCCCTCCTTCTCTCTCTCCCTCTCTCCATCTTCTTTTTCCTACCCCCTACTCTGGGGTCTTGCAGATAAAATGAGATATTGACACAAGGCATGGGAAAACATGACAGAATGAGCATTGTTGGGCAAGTCTTACTGGCACAGTGTATATACACACATTGTTTCAGGTATTAAGCTTCAGCTACTACTGAACAGGCATCCAGCCAGATTAATCAGAAAAAGGGAAGAGCATGAAGGCTATTAACTTAAAAAATAAGACAGGGTGCAGTCCCATTTTCCTCCCACCGTGTTCCTTTCATTGAGAACAAACAGCAACATTAGCACTACAGCAAACTGGCAGGTTGGTGTAAAGGTCCCAGATAGTATTTATGTGGTGAGGCAGTCTCTAACCTCCTTTCCATCCCTTCTCCCTCCCTCTCTAAGCCTTCAGCATGTGGGAGGAATGCTGTAACTAGTAACTACTTGTGCTGATGAAAAATCAGTTGAGGAACACTTAGCAGTGAAGGGTGTTTTTGGTTGATTAATAGAACATCATTTGGAGATAAGATACATGGAGGAAAAGCAGTAAGGCATATGGAGGAAGGGGAGAAAATTTGATATAAGACATATATTTGTCAAAGGTATAGAAAGGCAGATAAGCTGAATCAGCCCAAGATATGGGACTCTGAACTAGGCTGCACAATAGCAGAGCTTGTCTTCTTTTTGAAAATAACTCAATTTTTTTCCCAGTGACTGAGCATACAGCAATGAATGTGAAAATTCTGGTCAGACAAATTGGTGACAACTCAGTTCACTGGTTGCTTTGTTGGAATACATCTTTTGCTGGGAAAGATGTGGTTTCAGACTACCAAATACTGTAGTAGCTGCCAACTTACAGCTCAGCATTCCTGGAGAAGGTAATCTGCTGCTGTTTTTCAAGCTAGTAGTGGACATACCTAGTAATTATTCCAGCTTCAAACTCACTGCTACAGCTCTGCAGCTGATAGAGAACATGGGAAGATTGAGGGTTGTCACAGATCCAGCAAGTTGTTAACATTGTACTAAACGGAGGGGGTGAGTCCAGTTTCATTGAACTTGTGGTCCAAAGTGGACATAGAGCACTAACCATGTGATGTAGATTATCTGTTCTCAAAGGGTTGTAGAGCCTTTTAATTGAGCTAAGATGGTATTCTGGCACAGCATCAAAAGGGAAAAATTGCAACCACATTTGATGAAATGCAAGCAGGTAGGAGAAGGCAACAAAAGGGGTTTGGAAGATGACTCTGATGCCTTGATGTACCAAATGTCATGGTACCACTGGGAGAACAGCCTTTCAGTCCCCACATGCAGCATTCATTTTAACACCTCTGCATTGCCTTCCTGTTCTTTCTTCTCTCTCATGATGCCATATGTCTCTTTCTGGTTCCAGTTTATCATCTTTTCTTGGGGTTGAATGCTTTTCAAACAGAGGGGCATGGGAAATGGAGTATTCTTGACACAATGAAGAACAAACTTATTGTGACTGGCCTTGGCAATTTGGAAAATGAAAAAAACCCCTTCTCATTCTTAATCTTAAACACCTCAGTCGTAATCTGAGTGACCTGAGATGGCAGGACAGACCATCTCTGCGGCAAACACAGGAGTTATACCATAGTGCAAGCTGAGACTTCAACTGCTGGTTGAGTTCTCAGAGCATCCTACTATCATCTTTATAGCTTGAGGAAACAGAAAAGACTCCTATAAGAGACAATCATGGGCATAAATCCTTCCATAATGAAGCTGGTTCTGGAAGGCACTTGGAATAGGTTGTTGTCTGAGAAGGGTCTTTGTGCACACCAGGGAAAATCTCTCTTTAAGCTCCTAGTTAGTTGGAGGAGTGTGTGGCATCAAAGAGGCATGGAATGATATGCTTTTATTAAATTCAAAGACTAGTTTCTTTTCCAGGAAATCTGTGATAAAATCCTCTGTTCCAACTTATGTATTTTAATTGAAGTACCACAGTATGTTGTGATATTAGAAATGTGAAGTGAGAGATGAAGTACCAAATGAGCACTGAGTCACCTATCAAGTCTGTTCCATAGCCTTGGTTGTATAGGATGTAACATCAGTTAGACCACTGGAAGGGGAGGAAAAGGGGAGAGTTGGGAAGAGCGAGCATCTGACTGTAGTTTTGTCCAAATTTTTTTTCTATCTTTGTACTGAAAGTTGGTCTTTAATCACTG